CCCCTCCAGTCCTGGAAACCCTACACACTCGGAGAGCAGGCAAGGCCCTCCCCAAAGCTACCCTCCCCCTCCCGCAACACACACACACACCACCATCACCAGCTACATCTCGGGACTTCTCGGGATATGAAAGACTCCCCATGAGTGTTATCTCCTCGCCCTGCTGGGTCTGGGAGACATGAAAAGACTGCCTGTGGGAATGCAGGCAGACTGGATGGCTGGCAAGGAGGAGCAGCCGGCTCCGGAAGGGAAATGGGAAGAAGCAAGAGGAAAAACACACACCACTGGTGTGCCCGCTGCTCCTCATTTACCTCCCGCCTCCCCCCTCTGCCCTCGCCATCTTTAATTGAAACCCAGTACGGGAAATAGTAATGGATACTGTGCTCGGATTGAGAGAACGTGTCTGTGGCTGCGGGGGGACAGTTAGTTCAGCAGATTTGGACGAGCCGATGTGTCTTTGCCCTGTCAACCTCCCTGACAGTAGCGGCCATTGAATTGGTCATGCCCTCTCCGTGACAGAGCCCCCCCTGCCCTCCGTCCCGGCTGCTCTCACAGGGCAGGACCCCGGTGCCCCCACGCCCCTGGCACCTCCCAACACCAGGGATAATGGGAAAAGCAAAAGCTGAAAACCAAGTCAGACCCCCTCAGCCTGCAGTTGGGGATGGGACAGAACACCCTTTAAAAGTATTGTCCCCAAATCCCCATCCCACGAGCCAAATTCCTGGCACCAATGGGAAAGGGGCCACGTATACCCTTACCTGTCTCCACTGGAACTCTGGAAAGAGGATGTTGAATAGAGGAAGGTACTGGGCGGTCAAAAGTGCCTGGGGCCCAAGTCAGCTCTGGCCTGTGTCTCGCTGATTCTGGGTCAGATAAGATGAGAAGAAAAATTCCCGGCCGCTTCCTTGGGAATTCAGTTCGGCCGGACTAAGAAACGTCCATGGCATTATCTTTTTTTTTTTTTTAAGTAACTGGGTAAAGCACACAAAGAGAGCATTGAACATGCAGACTGGTTGGAAATTAGGAAACCACAATTAGATCCTTTTCCTGAGAGAGAGAGAAAGAGGAAAAAACCCCTCGCAGATGTAGAAGGCACTCCC